AGGACCCACACTTTGTTCAACAAACCCCCTACCCACATAGCCCATAAACACTAAAAAGTTAGCTTTTGTAGGTAAACACAATATACTGTACTTTATTCTATTTCTCAAACTGCAAGAAATATGTTTTAATTTAAGCATCTGAACCCCATTTGACTCTAATACAATAATAATCTAATATAATCATTCCCAATGCCTTAAACCCACTTTTGTAGATACGCTAGCTGCAGGCCTGGAGATATACAGTACTGTACCTCTAAATAATGTGTTACAATATTATATTTTGTTGCATTTTCTTGTAATCATGCTAGTTTACTTTACTTGATTGAAGCAATAGATATGTGCCAGCTGGTGATATAAATAACATTCCACAAATGCTGATTGCCAGTTAATTATTTGCCTAGTCCAGCTTCATGAATATTTTGATGGAGTAAATTGGCAATTCCATGGTCACAGACGTACATTTTTTCACCATTATTAAAAACATTTAAATACAACATTAAGTAAATAACCAATATTGATTATGAGACCTCTGTATTTATTATAACCTCCCCGAAGGTGCGAAGCTCTGGGGAGGCTATTGTTTTTACCCATGTTCTTCTTCATGCTCGGCAGTGTTGTTGTCGTCGTTGTTGGGCAAATTGTTGTTACCACGATGACTAAAGTTTGGTAAAGCCGATTGGTTTCAAACTTGGCAGAATGCAAGATGGTAATAAGAAGACGGAGCCTACTGTTTTTGGTAGGTTTCAAGGCTTAACTTGTGCGCGAAAAATATTTTTATTACCTGTAGAGGCCTTACCTTACTCTATTGGGCCTATGCCTAAATAGATTGCCAGCCTAAACTAGGTAGGTTGGCTACCTGGATATATACTGTAGGTAGCCTGCTATTCATTAATCTACCTAGCAGCCTACACAGTGTGGTGGGGGGCTCTAGGTTTGGAATCTTAAAAAGGAGTGGAGGAATGATGGGGTATAGAGGTTAAGTTGGGGGGGGGGGGGGGGGGGGGTGGAAGTTTGAAAATGAGGTGATTTTTTTTATTACTTGAGTAAATAGCAGGGGCAGACTTGGTAGGGGAGCAGCCTGGGCCGGCCCCGTTCCCCACTTTTGGAAAGGAAAAAAAAATGGGGGAAAAAAGAAAGAACAAGAAAAAAACGATTGTCCAAAATGCCTTGGAGGTTATTTCGGTCGTCTAAAAAACAAACAAAAACTTTTCCAATTCCGGGGCCCCTTTTCGACATCTCTGGGTCCGTCCCTGAATAGGGTGTCTACGCAGGAGAGAACTCACTTCCCATACCACATTTCCCAAACCCATAACCCCCTCTCCCCACTCCCTGTCTCTTATACACATCTAGATGTGTATAAGAGACAGGATTGTACCTTATCGGCAGCTGCAAGTAGATCACTCCGATCCCTCTCCCGACCCACCCCCACACCCTAGAAGAGACTAGGGGACAGTCTCCACCATGGCCATATACCATCGCAATACTCATCCTAAACAAATTCAAAAATGCCTTTTTTAGAATTTAAAATATTTAAACATTTTATACTGGACAAAATTGCACAGCGGGGAGGCTATGCTTTTACTGCATAGCGTAAAAGGAATAATTCTAGTTTAAATTGTTATCAAGTACTGTGATGTTCATGTTCAAATTTGTTGTCATGCAAAGTAAATGAAATTTGTTTTCCAAAGTTCGCAATAAAAACAGTGAAACCGAAAGGTCCACTGATTAATCTCGGATAAGAAAGTATAATACATACTCCAAGTATTGAAATACATGCCATCGTCAATATTTCAACATTAATTATGTCATCATCAGGAATGAAAAAATTATCCATATTAGCAAGCTTATATGCACTAGTACCAAAAGTGTTTAACCAATCAAAACATTACCTCTAGTAGGTAACATAGCAGAATGACCTTAATCAATTTCATGAGTGGTGTATTATTAATTCTCTGCTTTTAAATCCTAGTAAATGTAAAGCTATGCAAATATGCTTTGCTAAGAGCAATATCCCAGAACAAAATTTTTTATATTGGTGAATCCCATATTGATTTTTGTGACGAAGCTTTAATCTTAGGCGTCACTGTACGGAATGATTTAAAATGGGGTAGCCATATTGACAACATTAATGCTATTAAAGGCTAACAAGAAAATGTTCATTCTTAATAACCTTAAAAAATTTGGGCTGAGCACAGTTGAACTTTTTGCTATTTATACTGGATACATAAGACCTGTCCTCGAATATGCTGATGTGATATGAAACTTGAGGCTACTCAGAAGCGTGCTTGCCGTATTATTTTAGCAAAAAACTATCAGACCTATGAACATGCTAGAACTTTTTGTAATTTGGACACCCTCTATGAGAGGAGAGCAGCCCACTGCCTCAAATTTGCTAAAGGCTTTTCTCTTACTAATCATTCTGCTGATCTGATTCCCCCTACCCGACAACAATCTCATGGTAGAAGTCTACGCAATGGAAGTAATTATTCACAGCTTAAATGCAAAACCAAAAGATTTTCTAATAGTCCCATACCTTTTTACATTCAATTACTCAATTTCTCTTAATCCCTCCTCCCCCTTTAGTCTCCCTGGCGACTGAGGCACTGGCTGCTCCCCTCTCTTAGAACAATCAAGTTATCAAGTTGCTCCACTTGAAAGTCTTTGTGTATTTTTTTTTAAATTTATTTATTCATTTTTTTTTTTGGGTGTGTGAATTCTGTTTGTGATCTTTTATTCCTTGTAAAAGTTGCTATCAATTTGGCCATTGGCCAAGATTTGTAACTTGTTTTTTAATGTTGATATATTTGAAATAAATAAAGTGAAATAATAATAATAATAAATATGGTTTCCCAAATATAGAACTAAAAAAGATAATGAAAATGATATGTTACAATATTAAATACTTAAAAACCCTTCAAAATTGAAAAGCAAATAACAATAAAGGCATATCTTTAGGCTTTTTCATAAAATTTTAGTGACTTTGTTTTGTGAATTCATGGAGCTCACTATCTGGGCTCAACATCATCACATTTTATTGGAGAGTATTGAAACATATTTCTATGATGAGAAAATAAACTTCATTTTTTTTTTCAACAAATTAAATATAACATAATATTGAAAAGCTGATTGAGATCAAACAGTAGAACTTTACTCTCACAAATATTACCAAATCTTGATGAAATTTATTCGGCATGTGCGGTACAGTACATTTAGACAAAGAATATTAAGTGGTTGTAAATTTCATTTAATGAATATTTCCTATACATAGCACAGCAAATTTAATCAAGCGAATATTGTGCCCACAAAGAATAATAGGTCCTTTACCTCAGCAAAAATGTCCAAAACAAAAATTTAGTGTAATTGAAAATTTAATTGCATATTTGTGCATCCGTAAGTTACAATTTGTACTCGTCTACATTTAAATGTTTGTTATAATCATTTTTACCAATTTGAATGTTACGTAATTGCTTTTTGAAATGGCCATTCTTTTATTTCATAAGATGAACTGCTTGTTACCATTTGTGAAATGATTATATATCAGGATGAAGTTATAAGTAGCCACAATGTCATTGATTTTGTACTGTGAGAATGAGCGTATTGAGAAAGGAGAGTGAGTGGACTGAGGGTGGAAGCCTAGGCGCACCCCCACCCCACACACACATCGGGGAATAAGAGATGGTTTTGTCAGAGTAAAAAAACATGTTTAAGAAAACCATAGTTTCTAATCATTGTTTAGGCCATAGCCTTCCTCGTTGAACTAACTAGTATTTGTTTACCTTTTCTTCAATGGTACAGTACTGTACCCTCATAATTATTGGAATTCATTGTGATCATAGGCTTTGATACTGGTTTGGATATTACAACAATTATGAAGTCATGCCTATGAAACAACTAATAAAATTCACCAAAATTTACCCCCTGGGGCCTTTGGCAGCCCCCAAGTACCCCTAGACTAAACATGCTTTCTTGCTTCGCTCGCACAGCTCCCCTGTTGAGCCTTCAGCCACTCTGTCTTGACTTAAGCCCCTTTGTCCAGCAGATCACGTCGCCATCACTGTTAAACCTTCAGAGTGAGGGATGTTGGAAAAAAAGAGATATGGGCCTGCATGATTGGATATGTGCATGTCTTTATTGACTATAGTAATGCAGTTGTAGGACTGTATACCAACACAATGAATGTTAACTTACTGCAAGCTTTCCTCGATGTTGCTATCAACACGACTTCATCAGGCTATACTGTATGAACTACTATCCGTTGTTTTGCGCATTAAAACACAGTGGCAAATCCAGAAATTTTAAATAGAGGGGCCCCAAGGAGAGGGTCTTTTACAGATTGAGGATCTAATAAGAAAATTTAGTATTATGACACTCAGGTGTCCAGAAATGGCACTCTCAGACCTAAATTGTATTAAAATTTTCCTCTTTTCTCCATCTTTTATAAAATCTTGAAATATTTAGGGGGCACGGCCCCCCAGCTCCCCCCCACCCACCCACCTTGAATCCTACACAGCAAACCGGATGAAACTATTCAAGTATTAGTAACAATCCTGTCATGCATCACCTCAGATTGTCTGATAAGAAAGTATAATACATACTCCAAGTATTGAAATACACGCCATCGTGTTGGGATTCAATATTTCGACATTAATTATGTGATCATCAGGAATGATCAGATTGTCTGATTGCAATAGGATGTGCTGACAATCAGTTGAGCTTGTTGATTTATTTTATTGTAACATCTATCTTTAAACAAGTCCTTCCATTGTACAGTACATCATCTTTACTCTTTAGCTGGACACACACTGCTCCGATGGAATTCCATAGAAAACGCGACGATCCAATTGCAATAGTTCGTTTTAGTGACAATCCGCTCAGACTTCCTTTATCAAGGAGAGATATATTCGTCAACCGGTACTTCCATCATACAATTGTGTGTCGTCAGGCTTTAAGAAGCAGAAGTATAAACAAATATTGAAAAAAATTTTTTTTTTATATTTCAGTTTAACAATTGTAAACGGAAACTTCAGACAAAGAAGGATGCACTGATTATTTTGGCAAAAGAGCTTGACAATGTGAAACAAGAGCGAGATGCATATAAATTGATGGCAGAGCAACTAAGGGATAAATCAAATGCACAGCGAAAGAAATTTGAGGAAAAAGAAAGGGTAATTTGTGTATTTTGTAAATATAATTACTGGACCAGAAAACTAGCAAAATTAAGTTTAACTTTAACAATTACATATTAATTTAAATATCAGTGAATAACATTGTTCTTATACTGTAAAGTGAATATCACGTTGACAAAACTTTCATCAGTTCATATAATGTTCTTAAAATTTGAAACTTCTGCATATTTAAATGTAAAATACAATTAAACCTTGGGTATGTTTACAGTTAAGTTTACATGAAAATCAAAATTAAATCATACTCTAAAGAAAATTATGAGGTTAATACAAACATGAAAACCAACTCGACATCGGTGAGACTCAAACGATGGCTGCAATAGTGATGTTGAGAGTTCCATTTTGCTAAAAGTACCTTACCCTGTAGAGGTCATTGCATTTTTAGTTTTTTACCTTGGGTAATGTTATAAGTTGAGGGCAAACATTTTTCAGCATGCGTTTCATGGTAATTTTGTGTAGCTGTAGCTAGTTTAAATGCTTTAGAAAATGCAAATTGCATTTCAAACACAAAAATGTAATTACCCTTTTATCAATATTCGAAATATGTAGAACTAGAGCACACTCAGAGAGTGTATACAGTACCTACAAACATGTCATAATTCTTCCCTGTATAAAATTCCCATGCATCTATTCCCTTTGAAAAAAAAAAAAAATTTTTAAATGAAAACAAATCTCATCCTCCACCAGGATTCTAACCCAGGACATTTTGCTTTCTAAACGAATGTCATAACCAATCCGAAAAACCCTGTACAAAACATATGAAAATGGGATAGAAATAAGGAAAAATAATCTGAACAAAAACAATGGCTTTCTCTGCTAACATGGGAAAAGCCAATAATGTATTAAAAATATTAGTGAAACCTCAATTTCAATACAGTTTAAAGGGAACATTTAATAATTGCCTCTGTACAACTTGTAGTCTACTTGTTGAGTGAACAGTTTAATCACCTGTGATTTTAAGTAAACATTCTTCATTTTCTAAAATGTACAACACAACTAGTTTCCTTAATATTTTTAATATCAGGCCATTTTCTCCATTGTGTTTCGGGTACATACACCTAATAGTTATTGTAAACATTTTGGCAAACTAAACACAATATCCTGTGTCCTTTTATAAGTGAACAACAAATGCTGTTGTAATGTTAAAAAACAAAACAATCTCTACTTATATAATACTGTATATAGCTTTCTACACATCTTAAGTGAACACAATCCTTTTATGAGAATAAGACAGTCATATTAACTAATCATTGTATAAAATGAAGGTGCATATATGTATAGAATAGAATACAAACTTTGAGCACTTTTTCTTGCAGGCACTTGGACTTTCACTGTGTGATAGCGATCATCTCTATGAACGCCGTAGTCAGGTATTATTTTCAACTCAAAGCTTTCATTAAAGAAAATTGCTTTTTACACTGAGCTTTAATTAGCAATGAGCTTTTATTCTATAATATGTATCAGAATTCAAGTGGCAACATTTGGCATGCATTGGAGGTCAATGGGTTGGAATCCTGTTGCTATTCTGCTTGTGTTTGTTGACAAAGCACTTTGCCTTTTGGGAACAAAACACATTTAAAATAAATCTTAAAATTCATATTTCTTCAAGTACTATTGTTCATTAATTTCATTATACATTTTGGTATATCCATTTTATTTTTTTCTGGTTTTTTTTATTATTATAAATAGTATGCCTGCATGCCAAGTTTTGCAAGCTTTACTTTTTTATGCCACTTGTCAATGTATGATTTTCGAGTGAAATAAATTGAATTGTTACCTGCAGGCTAAACTGATTACAAGTGCTGACAGTAATTTGCATTTCTCCCCCAGGGAGCAAAGAATAATTTGAACCGCATAGAAGCTTTGGCTCAACATATCATTATCGCCATTATCATCATCATCATTGTCATCCTAATCATTTATCGAAAGGTCCACTGATTAATCTCAGATAAGAAAGTATAATACATACTCCAAGTATTGAAATACATGCCATCGTGTTGGGATTCAATATTTCGACATTAATTATGTCATCATCAGGAAATCATTTATCTTCACTATTATTATTACAAAGGTCTGTGGTAGGTTTGGGTTGTACTCCAAAATGGCATTTTCCTAAATTATTGGTTGTGTGCTAAATTTATTGGAATTTTGTGCGATTTTTTTTTTATTTTTTTTATTTTTTTTAATGGTTTTACCACACATGTACATGTAAAACATAACTTAATTAAATGTAGACATTACAATTAAATTTTCAAAACAAAATCCATGAAAAAATGTGTGGTAAAAGACCAAAGTAAGTTTGTAAATCAAAATATTTAGCAGTATCCGTTTGTTTATCCCTTCAGAGCTTGGCTCAAGTTCTGTGTGAATCAAGAGAACAAAATAGAAAGGCAGAAGCAGAAATAAAACAATTGAAACAAAGTTTGCTGGAAGCTGAAGGAGATGTAAAGGTAAAATTAAAATATGAAATTTGTTTTTTTTTATATTAGCGTATCCATTTTTAACATTTAAGAATAAAATATGCAAATTTGGAACACAAAACAATTGTAAACAATGACCTTATGATGTTTAAAGATGTAAAGGTTATTATTATTATTGTTGTTATTTTTATATTTTTTATTATATTATGTTATTATTATATAATTTTTTTTTTATTAGATCACTTTTATTTCAAATATCAAAAATATATACAATATAAAAAGTGTATAAATTGTGATTTCAAAAAATGAAAGGAAACATATAAATACTCCCTAGACAAGTGGCAAAGTATATTCAAAGGAATAAAATACGCAAGGGAGAGGCAGAGCCCAAACAATGACAAAAACAAAACGGACAAGAAGACAAAGAACAAAGAACATCTTTGTGGTGGAAAATGCTGAAAGAAGAGATTATTGCAAGTTTAGAGATTTTTTGTTTAAAATCTTTAAATGGAAGTGGCCTATTGCAGAGAGAGTGAATTGTTTTCAGCTGATTTTCATTTTCATGAGAGATGAACCCATGTGAGCCGATTTCAATGGCAAGCAAATTAGCAGTGTGTCCGGAGTCTCAAATGTCGTTAATCAACGGGGTGTACTTATTGCACTTAAAATTATGGGCATTAGCAATGCCCGTCTCAAATGGACAGAGATTTCGACAAGTGTCAATGATTTGGATTTAGAAAAGTATAAGCATATGTCAGGGATGAGGATGGTAGTGGTGCACTCCATGGGGACCGTTGATGGATGAGGGACATTCGAGGCACCGGAAACAAGGTCGCAACAGACTGAATCAGGGGGAAATCCCATCTTTAGGGTATCAGACATATATTTGAGAATATTGTTGTGGCGCCAAGTATATCTCCTTTGGTCCAGTGAAGGTTTGCAAAAATTAAGAATGTGATGGAGGGTCTCTCGGTTCCCACAGGAAGGGTATTCATCTGAAATCCTATTCCCCCACCTGGCAAGGTTAACCCGAGTATTGAGGGTATCTCCGACGGCGTTGGAGAGAAATTTAAGAATGCCAAGTGGGAGATCGTATCAGATAGATTTCCAATGGGCAGATTGATCTTCAAGAGACACAAGTTCATAAAACCTTCCCTGGACCAAGAGAGTTTTGACGTGGTTATCCCAACATTTCTGAACTTCTGCCTTCAGTGTATTTTTTACTATGGCTTTTAATTTTGTGGAGGGGTAAATTATTGTGCTTGGCCAAGGCGTTTTTTGTTAAACTTTCAAATTTGTTGGTAAGAGAGATCTTCTTCTTCCAGTTCCCTTCTCTTTCAACCCTGGATTCAAGACTGGTTTACCATCTCACCAGACTTCATTCTGGAAAAGAGATGCGCAATGAGATGGCATTCTTTGTAGAGTTCAGAAATGTTGGGAATGTCGAATCCCTTGGGCATGTGAATGATGGCCATAGTAGCACATTTGGGCATGCCAAACCATGATTTTACGAACCTATTGGACAGGGCATCAAGCTTTTCAAGCTGGGTGGATGTGATATCATTCACTGTAAGATAGAATCCTTATATTTAATATTTTATTATTACTATATTTATTGCGACATCATCACTGTAACTCCCAATGTTATTTTCCTATCCCCAACCATGTACTACTTTTTCATTAGTGCAGAGTTGATTGATCTTTCTTCGGTTCCTGTTCAAAAGGTGAAAAAAACTTGTATTTTATGTATCGTGCTATTGTACTCTCCAGAAGAAGAGGGCAGACACTCACCCAATCATCATTTGTTTAAAAGTGGTAATTGAAAAAATGACTTTCATAAAAGGTTGATTAGAAACCGAAGAAAGTTCCTTCAAATTCAATATTATGCATGAAAACTTAAGGAACTCCTTGAATTATGAACCTTAATAAAGTAAAGAAACTGAAACATTTAATAATAGGAATATTCTTGACCTATTTTTAAGACTCAAGGAACGAACTTAGATGTAGGTAGGAGGCTGCCGAGGCCTCCTTTTGTAGGTGCCTACAGTGGGTCGTAGCCTAGCCATTACACGATTTTACCTGTCTGCACAGAAAGTGGTTACTGTTTTTGAAATGTATATTTCTTTTGACGAATGTCTTTCAATATAGTAAACTCATGACAACTTCTTTTAACACAATAAAAAAAATTGTCATCGTATCGTACTGTGTAACATCAACTGCTGTGTGCAACATACGCACTGCTAAATGTATATCAGATTAACTGATCATATCACTATAGCAACCAATAACTGCTACAACAGTTGATTATAAAGCTAACAATATTAAAAGATGACTGTTGACTTATAAAGCAATTAGTATAGTGAAGTATCTATACACTTGTACACTTGAAAAAAATTATAATACCTAGTTTATAGATAAATGCATTTAAAACATTCCTTAGTGCCTTGCTGGCCCTCAAGAGTTTTTTCATGCATTAATCTAACCATCATATAATAATTTCCACTAGTGTATGATGCACAACTATATTAATAGATTATTATTATTATTATTATTATTATTATTTTTATTATTATTATACAGATTTAGGAATTTGTTGATGCCCTTTTTTTTTATTGCTGTAATACATTAAAAATATATGATACTTAGAGAAACCTGATACTTAGATAAACATAATACCGAAGATCTCGGAAATTCGCGGTCTAGCGGGTATATCAAACGCAGCTGTTATTAAAATCACCGAATCGTGGCTAGATTATACTATACCTGATAAAGAAATCACGATTAACGGATATTCTATTTTACGCAATGATAGATCACGATCTGGTGGAGGTGTTTGCGCATATTCGAAATTACATTGCTTTTAACACCAGAACCGATCTGCACAATGACCAAATGGAATCTCTATTTTTTGAATTATTGCTTCATAAAACGAAACCAATTTTAATTGGTAAAATTCACCGACCCCCGAATGATAGTGGTTTCCTTGAACACTTTGAAACTACTTTGTCAAACTTTTCACCAGATTACGAATTTATTACCTTGGGTGATCTCAATATCAATTTTATTGATAAGACCTCTGCTCTCTGTAAAAAATTGTTAATTATTTTAAGATCATTCAATTGTGAACAGCTTATTGACACGCCAACTAGAGTTACATATAATACAAGTACGATCATCGATCACATAATTTGTAACAATCAAGATAGAATCTCTCAGTCTGGCACTGTAGATGTTGGAATAAGCGATCATGTTCTCATTTATTGTACGCGCAAAATTAAGCGTGAATCAGTGAATAGACATAATACTGTAAAAATAAGGTCTCTAAAGAAATATACTGCCACTGCATTTATCTCTAAAGCTATCAAATTCTGATCGGTCTAGTATACTTAACACTAACGATTTTAACCAAGGTTGGTCAAACTTTAAATCAATTATGAAAAAGGTTATTGACGAATTTGCACCATTAAAAGAAATAAGACTAAAAAATAGAACCGAACCATGGATAGATGATAAAATTCTAGAATACATTCGATTACGTGACTCCTTGTTGCGGAAAGTAAAAAAACATAGAAATGACAGATCAATTTATAATTCTTTTTGTAAAATAAGAAACAAAGTACGCAGGGAAATCAAAGGCGCAAAAGCTGATTTTTTTTAGTGAAACCCTAGAAGAGAATAAGAAAAATCCAAAAGCCAAAATATTGACGACGTCTGCTTTCATAATAACAAAGTAGCAGACCACTTTAATATGTTTTTTACTAATGTTCCACATAGTCTGGCTTCCAAATGGAAGTGCACAATATAATACAGATTCCGAGAAATTCCGACAATTTTACGAACGAAAGGAGTCTCTAAAAACGCTTTGAACCTAACCTCTGTCTCAGAGGACTTCATTTTAAAAGAGCTCCAAGGGTTAAATATAACGAAGAGCGCGGGATTAGACAATATCCCTGTAAGGTTCTTGCGAGACGGTGCTACAGCAATCACTGGGGCAGTAGCCCACATTATAAATTTGTCCATCCTATCTAACACCGTCCCTGACGACTTCAAAATCGCTCGAATACATCCCATATTTAAAAAGTGTAACAAGTCAGTTGTAAGTAACTATCGACCTATAAGCATTTTGAGCACTATGTCAAAAATACTTGAACGAGCAGTATTCATCCAAATGGACGAATATCTCACAGAAAATGATATTTTGTTTGAATTTCAATCCGGTTTGAGGCGTAAATACTCAACTGATTCTTGTTTGATTCATTTGACAGATTATATTCGTACCCAAATGTCTATGGAAATTATACTGGTATGGTAGCTTTAGATTTACAAAAGGCATTTGATACAGTTGACCACGGTATTTTAATTAGCAAACTAGAGAAAATGGGTATAGGATCAATCCAATGGTTTAAATCCTATCTAGAAAACAGACAACAGTTGGTTTGTGTAAACAAGGTTGAGTCTACTTCCTATAACTTGTGGTGTCCCACAAGGAAGTATACTAGGCCCACTTTTATTTCTTTGTTCTATTAACGATATGTCAATTAGCGTCAATTGCAAACTTATTTTATATGCAGATGACAGTGTTTTAATGATATCCGGAAAAGATCCAACTTTATTGGCCAGCAAACTGAGTAAAGGATTAGAATCCTGCTACGAATGGCTCATTGACAATAAGCTATCAATTCATTTATGCAAAACTGAAGCAATACTGTTTGGAACTAATCACAAATTAAAGGAAGCAAATGACTTCTCAGTTCGTTGCAATGAAGTGCCTATAAATGAATCTTCTTCGATAAATTACCTGGGTATAACACTCGATCAATCCCTGTCTGGTGAACATATTTTTCAATCAGTTGTCATAAAAAACTGTAGCTAGACTGAAATTTTTATATAGGCAAGCATCTTTTCTGAACGAAAATGCAAGGAAATGCTCTGCCCTCATCCAATGTAATTTTGATTACGCTTGCTCATCATGGTACTCTGGAACTACAAAGAAATGCAAAAACAAATTACAAGTTTTGCAAAACAATATGGTTAGGTATATAACTAACGAAGGACCTCGAAGCTATGTTGGGCAGAAAGAGTTAAATATACTTGGATTACTAAATGTCGAAGATAGAGTAACACAAATTAAATTAAACACATTGCATAAGATAATAAATAATTCTGCTCCATCGTACCTAAGTAGCCACTTTGCTAAAGTATGTGACCAGCACAGTCATGGTGCACATGAAAGCGATTTAAACTTTATCCCACCGAAAGCATCTAAAGCTATTGATGGCACATTTTATGCTACCGTCATCCATGAATGGAACAAACTTCCAAGCAAAATCAAGAGCTCCGCCAGCCTTTCATCATTTAGAAAAATGGTAAAAGACTACTTATCGAATAAGAGAGTGTCATAATGAAAGAAGTCATGTCATAAAACCTTGTCTATTATACTTTAATACTATTTTTTCAGGACCCCAACGGAAATAAACTTATGTAATTGGTTTTCTTGGGCTATCCTGGTCGATATCAACTTTATTTATAAGTCATCAACTAAATTTAACTTTAATTATGGTACTGGTTTTTTTTTTTAGTACAATTTCATTAATGGTACCACAGTACTCTGTACAACTTTTTTAACCGCTTTTTTGACCATTTTAATATATTTTATTAGTTCCGATAAATCTCAATACTGATGTTTTTATTAACTGTTAACTTATTTTTTACCGTTCTTAAATCATTATCTCGTTTCTGTGTAATTTAAATTTTTTAACCCTTTTATCTTTGAATTTTTAACCCCTTTTTTCAATTTTTTAAATATTCTTAAAGAAATTTTAAATATTTAAAAAAAATTGAATTACTGTTTTAACTGGTTTTATAAGTGGTTTTATTTGTTTTTTACTTGTACAGTATATGTTGATATTGACCAAATAAATGAATGAATGAATGTTTGAAGACATATTAGATACTAATTTTTTTAAATAATATAAGTGTTACATTATTTTAGCTTTTGAGAGAAAACATTGCAAGACAGCGAGTTGGAGATGAGGGCCTAGGAACAAGGCACTTTCCAGCTTATGAACGTTCAGAACTAGTGAAACAATTGGAAGCCACAAAGGACCAGGTATTATAATTCAGTCGTACAGTGTTGCATGCTATAATATCATCTATCTATCTCTTTCAGTGATGAAGTACCGTAAATATTTATAACGACAAACACATATCACAAATCAGATGTAAAACAAATAGGTATAAAAACATTCTGATTCCATATTTTGTAAACCTGCTTAATTCTGAACATTAAGTCACAATTGATTCCCTCAGTTTCAGGAGCAGTTTGGGGTGTTTTTTTAAATTTTATTTTATTTTTTATTTTGAACATTTAGTGCAAAACTGTTTGTCCTTGATTTGTCTTTTTGATTTTGTGCTTTTTTTGCTTGTTTCTCTTGTTCTGATTCTCATGTATTTTTTGATGTTGTGGTTTTGTGATTTTGCTGCTTTTGTATTTTTGATGTAAAATGTTTTTAATGTGAGATTTTTTTGCTGGATGTTTCCCTTTGTATGTTATATTTTTGCTTGTAACCTGTGCTACAATTTAGCTTTGCTACAAAGTACATGATGGCTTTTACAACTTATTTTAGTAATCTTGTAAGGAATGATAATTGCAATATAGTATAAATGATGATGGCAATAATGATGATAATAATAATAATGATAATAATAATAATAATAATAATAATAATAATAATGGCTGTGATAGTAATAACAACAATGTAATATAATCTCAAAGCAATATTTAGGTCTACTGTGTATGCATTTCTTTTTAAATGTCTTTTACCTTATGAATTGTATATTTTTATATTTCTCAATTGTATTTTTACCTTGCTGTTTTGTTTTGAAATAAAAATAATGAATGAATGATGATTGAATAGCTCATTAGATTCAAGGGTTTTTTTGGAAAGGGTTTTTTTTTTTTTTTTTTTTTTTTTTTTTTGCTTTATAGATGTTAATATACTTCATAAAATATACCAATTACTGATTATTTTGACTGTAATCCTTTCGAATTTTGATTTTGTGATTAAAACTTGAATTTAGAGTCGGAATTAATTTCACGGTCATAAATTTTTCAGATCTGATCTTTTTTTCACAATTCAGTTCAATTTATTGACAATCCAAAAGCCATCAAGGGCTTATTTATTATCCAGAAAATTTCAATATACATAAAACAGATACTCTTACTTATATACATCTACCCCACTTCTCCCGCCTCCCAACAAATATCATCTATCATCAATACAATTATCATCATTACCATCATATTTGGAAGCATCAGCAGCATCAACTGCATCATTCGTAAAATTATCCAAGGGATCTTGGCGTGTTTCATTTTGTGAACTGATGAAAATATGGTACCTGCTGCATCTTGATATTGGACTTACAGTATCTTATTTTTACAGTGTTATGAATAGATTGGGAATTTTTTTTTTAAGTGTTCACAAGTAATTCATTATTTAATGAAGTGTAAAATCGTCCAAGTATTGCAGCGCGCTCAATCTGTTCATTTTTGCCTTTAGTACATTGCCTCATTGGATTGGAGCTATACCTTGGTGTTAAAACTGCTTGCCAGCTTCAAGTCCAGTAGGAGCATTCAATTCAATTCTTTATTCATTCCACTTTGGGTCAATTTAAAACTCTCTAAGCTTCTAAATATAATCCAATAATCACTGCAGAACATACACATACATTGGGTAACACGTTTGTCTGTTGTCACTGCATATTGGGCTGTATAGTAGCTGTATAGTAATGAGAGAAGATACACAAGTCCTCATTTCTAAAGCATAGAGAGAGAATTAAATTAACGATAAATGCTAGACCTCCTATTAGGGAGTTATCTATTGAAATCAACCAATTTTAATTATAAAAAGTTTTTACATTTGCTCGTGTAGTGTTTTATGTTTTTGTAAATTTTTGTGGTGGCCCTCCAAGGTCTATTTCATAACCATTTTTGACTAAAGGATGCTTGTTAAAAGTACACCGTATCTATATCATGTAAGGGGCAAGTTCATTGCTGTTGTATGAGAATGAATTTAAAAAAAATTAAATCATGTTTAATATAATTATCATATTTTCTGGTTTTTTTTTTTCTTCTTCAATTAACTATGTATTTAATACTCCTAAAATATACACATCAAAATATGTTGTAATTAACAGTTAGAAGCATTGGAACGTGATATGGTGGCAAAAATTGATCAAGAGCAGGAGCTAGTGACTGAGCGTGACCATTACCGAGAAAAATCAGAGAGGATCAACCAAGAGCTGAACTACGTTCTTGGTGGAGATGAGCGAAGAATCGTTGATGTTGATGCCCTTATTATGGAGAACAAGTTAGTTATCATGATTAACTCTTACTAATTAGATATTATTGTGCCAACTTGAGCAGTTGCAAATCAGTCATTCTGTGGAGAATGAAAATTGTGGTGTAAGTCTACTCCAAGTTCCTCCTGTTTTCTTGTCATCAGGTATGTGAAGGAAAGATTGAAACAATGCCAAGAAGAAAAGAATCTAGCAAATACAACGGTTGCCAAGTATAAGGTATGTTCAAGTTGTATTTGCCAAGTATAAGGTACTGTATGTTCAAGTACTTTGATATGTCTGTCTTCGCTAAATTTAGAATAATAATGAGAGATTATCCTCAACCAAAATAATGATCTCATTATTCAGGTCAATCAAACCAGGGACTTTTTCAGGGACTTCATTTTAGATTTTAGTCATTAATGACTAAAATGGTTTTAATGGTTTGTGGCTCTCTTCACCAATCCTGTGAAGAAAGTGCATTGTACAATGTAGACCACCAATCCATCTGTTATCATTTGCTATACTGATAAAAACAAATCATGATGTTGATAAGTTTTGGTCGTGATAATTATAATAAATTATGTTTATCATTGACTACAATTATTTCAGTCATAGTCCATGGTAAACGGAAGCAAGCTGAAACTCATCATTGACATGTATGATATTAATAAAGATATCCAAGCATAATTATCATTGTCATCAATTACAATGTTTTATTAACGTCATCTAAACTAAATACAGGTCTCCCTACAATTAAAGACCACTTTTGGGACCGGGGTTTTCATGGTCTTTAGCAGTTTTGGTCTCTCATTAGAATAATAAAGATAAAAGAAATTTGTTAATTTGGGACCACAGAATAGTGGTCTTTACTCTAATTGGAAGTGGTCCTTAATTGGAGGGGTCTTTCATTGGAGGGAGACCTGTAAATTTTTAATAAACGTAAAATGGGAACACAGAGAACTTGGAAATTTGTTGATAACTGTGGAATTAATGAATTGCAAAAAACTAAATATCCATGAATGCATGTTGGGATCATTACATGTCATCATCGACATCATCAATATAATTTATTTTAAACATATGTAAGTTAATACCTTGTTGTGTATGTTCCACAGGCTGCTTTAGAAAGAAAGAGAGGAAGAACAACACTGCGACTTGGTGCAGCATCATCAGGTGGCATTGTAATCTCACAAAAGCAAGGTATCATTTTTGACACATTTCTGAATGGTTAACAGTAAACACAGTTATTAGTTTTTGTATTATATTAATTATTATAGCAGTCATAATGTTTGTAGTTTGTTTGGTCTTGTTTTTATTGTTATATTGGAGAAATGAATTTTTTTGAAAATTTTTGTTTTTTTCCAGATATATGTTATTTTAATCATGCAATTTATTTGTGACTTTAATATGAATGATTGCTGTGGGCAGTAGTTACAAAAACTCTTAAAAAAAACATCCAAAAATTAAAAATAAGGAACAGTTACAAAAGTAATTAATTTACATAAAACAAAATATATATGCTTTTAGACCTATATTATTTATGCAAATATTTGGTCAAGTTCTGAAAACACTACAGAAAATAAAAGCCGAAGGAGCCAATATTTTCTAATGGGACACCAAACCAATGGTTGTAATTCAGTCTTCCACCTTTAAAACCCTTGTCATGAATTTCGCTTTTGTCTTGGTGAAAATATTACCTACGGCCTCCACCCAGGAGTATAATACAGTATACCAATACAGTGACTGCCAGTTACATAATGGAACTTCTACTATGGAGCTGAGTAATGGTTTTCATATGTGTATGATACAAATACTGAGGTAATATGAAATGCATAGGCACACTGCTTGTCATGTTGGGCTGTATAAAACCAGTATATTATTGATTGTTATTACAAGTTAAATTAATCCTGGCTTTATGATATAATAATAATAACACAGGCAGTTTCCTTTTAATGATAGCTTTGTAAAGTGCTCAATGCAAAACTTGGAATTTAACATAATAGTTGTATTGCTTTTGTTTTTACAGTGGAACAGCTACTTGCTGAAGGCAAAGCTACTGGTCTGCCTGCTACAGCATCATCTGTTGCAGATCTACAGTCCCTTGCTGCAGCTTTACTTGAAACTATTCATGATAAAAACATGGCCTTGAATCACCAACGGAATACAAACAAGTAATCTCTAAAATCCAAATCATTTTTTCCAATGTGAATCACAAAGTGTGAAGGTTTTTTTACTCAAGCTGTGTATTGATTCTTCATTAATTAAAGAAAATGATTGACCCAAAGGTTCATATCGTTCTAAATCGAATTTATTATACAATATAATTATATAAAACTATCGTGGTTTAATATTTTGCTACTATGTTCAAATTTCATGAGAAAATATCACATTTATTCTATTTTTTTTTTTTAATTCCTTCTAGAATTCTTGGTCTCCGTGTGGCAGAATTAGAGAAGAAATTAAAAACACTGGAGATATCTGGACTGTGGAACCTACCACCTGGTGAGTTGTTGGCTATGCTGTGCCATAGTCTAATAATATTATACCATGATTTTGGTAATGTAATTTTATTATTATTTATCAATGGTTTTTTTTTAATCTGTTGAGCAGTTGAATTGTAATCAAAAGGCAAATTTGAAAGCACAGTACAATTTTTGATGACCTATAAGTTTGGTTTATTGAATTTGACTGACAATTTGTTCCATTTAACAAATATGCCCTTCAAAGAGAACAAATATAATATTGGCACTTGACTTTGTAGACTTCACTCAGGAATTTGATGCCCTTGTCTTGGTTCTAAGCCCTGTATGTACAAACCAGATAAATTTACTTGAATCATACACTATTATTTATTTTCCTGATTAAATAATAATTAATAATGGTGAGTAAGAGAGGTAGAACAACACTGCGACTCAGTGCAGCATCATCATATGGCATTGTAATCTCACAACTTAATGGCAATAATAATAATAATAATAATAATAATAATAATAATAATAAAGACACAATAATGAAACTGCTATTTTGCATTGTGAACTTTGAAAACTCTATATATCTAGTTGTTGTCATGTATGCTGATGACACAGCTCTTGTTGTCAGTGGTGTTAAACGATTAAAAATAGATTGCATTTAAAAACTAAATGGTGTTATTAAGCTATCCATTACTAAAATTAGTTATCTCCCTCTAAAACAAGCGCAAGTTAGACTGCCATCAATTTCTAAGAATAGGATTGACCATTCGTTTTCTCTCTTTCTTTCTCTCTTGACCTATTCTTTTCTCTACTTGTGTATTTTCCTCCATTTTTTTTTGTATTTTAACATATTTTTTTACTGTTGTAGAAAAAATATCTACCTTGCAGTACAATTTGGTGTAAACAGTTTGGATATCAGCCTTCCAAGTGCCTGGAACATTGCCATTATCATTATGAAAACTGTTAATCATGTATTTAGTTTATAATAAAACCTTTGTGTTATTATCCAAGAATAGTTTGATCTATCATATTTTAAGTAAAATTACCTCAAAACACCATTATATCGAATAGTGCTTAATGAATAAACCATTTCATTTTGATTAAACGTTGATTACATTTTTGTGTGCCTTTCCTTTATGTCGTGGTGTAAAGTGCCTAAAAGCACTGAGCACTGTGTTCTATATTAAATATAAAATTAGAAAGTATAATACATACTTCAAGTATTGAAATACACGCCATCGTGTTGGGATTCAATATTTCAACATTAATTATGTCATCATCAGGAATTCCTAATCAGTGGACCTGTTGGTTTTTGGAAATACAAAATTATTATAGTAATTTTGTTGTGGCTATCTTATTATTTATTTGGTCTCTTCACATTTTCCATTCAGATTGCCTGTGTAATTTATTGATACATTTCTTTTATCATAGAGGTGGTCATGTCAATTTTCATTTTAGTCGAGGCAGAAATGAATTTACATTATAATTAAGATTACATTTATAATAATTAAATATACTAATATGAAGTTTCAAATTTTTTATGATAGGTCGTAGTGCAGCTATTGTGGCAAAAGACGAGGAGAACATGCGTGCAGGTTTGATTACACTTACTCCTTCCACCGCACCCAAAGAGAACGGTGATCATGATTCAAAAACCACAATTGTGTCTTCTACAACAAAAGAGAATACTGTCGAGTCAAGAAGTGCCCCCCAAAGTGCTCGTAGCACACCTGTACACCAAATACGGCAAGGCTCCCCACAACTGTACAGCGATACTGATAGCCTTATTTCATTGGATGATTTTGACCTCTTAGCTTCTGGTGATGACAATGATTCAGAAACGAGTAGTATCAACAGCATTAACATTTCCAGGTCACTTCTTGCCAAGTCCACCACCCTGGATTCCTACAGGAGAGGTGCACAAGTATGTGATGTCTTAAAAACCAGTATTCTAGTCAAACCAAGTCTTCCTGAGGGAAAAGCTAGTTCAAATAATAACCCAGAGCTAATGGCAGAGGATGTTAATGAGTATCTACAAGCTGACGAAGCTAAAAAAACTGATGAATACCATGAGCATTCAGTACTTTTGAAAAGTTTCACCAAAAGTGAAGCTGATGAAGCCATTTGTGAAGAAGATGAGAGCATGATCAAATTGGAAGACATCATTGATAATATTACCGACAAGTTAACAAAACAAAGGCTTGATGAAATACAAGCAAATGACAGTCCTAATGCATCAGATCCTTTGCTGTCTAGAGATGTTGTCAGTGATCGGGATGAAGAGGACAACCACTGAATACATCCACTATCAAGTGTAGTACATGGTATTAAATAATACCATGCTTATTTAATGGTTGACAATTGAATTCAGTTTTTAGTTTTAGTGTAGCCCTGGAATTTCCATGCCCCACATGGGTTACCCATTCTCTTGTTACATGCCTAATAATGATTGTAATACCATACATCAATATTTATTGAGGTATTTTAGCCATGGGATAATGAATATACCCCCTCTTCTAATCAAAATTTACTGTGATCTTTTAGCCCTGGGATAATGCCCCATTTTCTTTATAAGATCCTCTGCGATCTTATAGCCTTATATATTGTATGTATTATGTATATTACCTCAGATTTAACAGTAAGGTAATATCAATATTCAATTTTTGAGGATGCTAATTGTATATCTATTTTAAAGAATTTCAATAATTTATATATTTAATTATTAATTTATTAAGTGTATTATAATATTATGTAATTATATGTGAGTTTACAGGGAAGGTTTTGGGGGTTTTATTAGTGAAATTGGGTGCTTTTCTTTCATATCATCTGATATTTTAAAGATAATTTGTATTTATATTTTGTGTTAGATTTATTTTGTGGCCATTGATTGATTGTGATCATAAATTGGGTTATGATATAAAAGAAATTATAGTGGAACCTCTATTAAGGGACACCTTCTGGACCAGGAAAATTGTCCTCTTAATAGGGGTGTCCATGAATAGGGGGAACCCCCTATTAGGGGTCACTAACCAAAAACGGGAAATTGTCCCCTTAGTATGTTTTGGCTTGTAGTCATACAATGGGGACATATATTCTTTATAATTTTATTTCTTTTGAGCTATTATATCAATAATTTGCAATGCAAATACAATAAATTTACAATTAAATCAAAATAAATGTAATTAAAAAAAAAATTGTATATTGATCCAGATTCCAGTGCTGACAGATAAGCAGAATGAATAGAGTAGGGTGAGGATTATGGTATGGATTTGAATCCTATATGAAACTACACAAGAATAAAAAAATAGGGGTGTCCCCTTAATAGGGGTTGGCCATAGTGTTAAAAGATATATTTCCACTCGTTTCACAGAAAAGTGTGCCCTGAATAGGGGTGTCCCAAAGGAGCGGTTCTGCTGTACTACTACTTAGAGCAATTATTGTTGGCAGCTCCAGTACTTTTGTATACTTCAAATTTTTAGCGAAATTTTATCAATGATTATGCCTTTAAGTTCAATCCTGCTATATTATCAGGGTAATATATTAATTATAAATGATTTATTTTAATTTTTAAAATTATTAAGATTTACCAATATATAAAAAAAATGATTTGTGTATAACTTCGTTTAAGCTGTAGTTTTGGAGTGACTGTTCAAGACTCTAGATTCCATTAAACAAGTGCAATACAACCAAGATATTTTTCTGTATTTATTAGGCAAAATCAAATGCAATTTGAATTGATTATGCTGTACTGTAGTATTAGATACAAGATGATTATGTATAATCATGGGAGATGAAATAACATTTGGGTTGTAAAAACTTCATTTGATTTCAAATTGTTTTTTTAAGGTTAATTGGTTTACTAAAAGTTAGTCTAAAAATCATATTTCTTGAGAAAAATAATACATTTCATATTATATAAAAATAAATTCTTAAAATTATTTACTTTTACTTTATGTATCCCTTTTACTAGATAACACTTATAAAATGCACTAATTAAAAGTTAACTACTGTACAATATTTTAAATGTGTTTTCTATGTAATACTTTTAGTGTGCTTTTACGAAGGCTTATAACCAAAATGAAACCGATAAATGCTTGTGCACTTTATATAGTCATACATGTATAGTACCACTCCTGTTATACAATGCTGCACTACCATCATACATTAACACTACTGGCCATTTTTTGCTACAGTGTTCCACCATATTCATATACCATGGTGGCACCAGGTTAGTTGGGTCATATTTTTTTTTAATCCGACAAGCGTGGGACCCCGTCATCATGCCACAACAAGGTCATTGGGACTAAACTATTAATTTGCCATTTTAAGCAACGCTATTTTGATTTCCAATCCCTAATATTGTGGTCTAAATGCACAGTTTTGGATTCTAGACCATAAAATCTCTCCCCCACAAGGATTTTATTGCAGGACACTGACATGACCGAGGCTTCAGGTGGCTTGTCTTGGTACAGACCCAGTCGGACTTGTTGACCACCGTGTTGGCAATTTTCTGAAGCACCACTGGTTCCCTTATTATGGTGAAGGATTGTTTGTTGTTGAGCAAGTAGAAACCACCCCTGAGTCCCAGGTACCTTGGAAGTCAGCAGGATTGAAATTTGTGTATGTTGGCTGGGCATCTGCTGGATCATCTTCAGAATCGATAACTGAGTTGGTCCAGGACCAGGCATCTGCAGATGCATAATTATTCTCCTTTGGAACACTGCAATTATTCTCCTTTAGAACACGGTGACTCTTCATACTGTAAATAGACAAGTTGAAAGTAATTATGATTCACATGGTCACAATAATATACAGTAGGTCTACAGCACTACCATGATTTATATATATATATATATATATATATATATATAT